GAAGTAGTGAAAAGCGAACAAAGAAAAAAATGCTGTCTTCGCGAATCAGTGAGTTAGCAAATTCTTCCAGCGAATCCTTCTGAGACTCTGCTCCAAGGAGCATTTGCTGGACACACACATCCACAAGCTCCCTCCTCTCAGGCTTCTCCTTGAGCCCCATTGTGTTCTTGGCTGCAAGGCAGCAAACTACATTTGCCCTTTGACTGCAGAGTTTGCTTCCTGAGTATGGTGCTCTCTATCTGTGTCCCCACAGTTGATTCACAATTGCATATGTTGATGGTATTCTGGAATCAATCGAATTTCAAAATAGGATCTGGGTTAAGAGCAGTAGCCTTCATCACGTTTTCTTTAAAGGCAACTCAGAGATATGCAGAACTCTGCTGCAGTAGTACCTCAGAACTATGGGGTGTGCCATATCCCAGTGGTCTGGTAGGCTGACTAGATGAGCAGTAATAGGAAATTTAAACTCATTTCTGGTGGGAGCATGGAGAACATGTTTGATGTAGAGCCCAGAATTTATGCAGGCACTTATGAAAAAAATGTGCTGAGGGCCCTTTTAAGCGAAGGGAATGACAATGTCACACAAAATAATTACTTGACTTCAGGGCTCCTTAAGTCATTGGAGTAAAACGATGCTTCAAATGGGAATCCAGACCTGTACAGAAAATTTGGGACACAACTGAGTTGCATGATGTTCCAGTATAGGTTCTCCTTTTTAAATTTTCCAGTATGAATCTTGGCTTCTTGGTTGGGAAGGTGAGAAATAAAGTGGCAGTTTTCCCTGAGAGAGTTTGATTCTGGGTATTAGAGAAGGCCTTTTGGTCTCGGTTGATCCGGTTGCTTACTCCCAGAGCAGCAGCACACTGGGGCTTTGTGGCAGACCAGTAAAGTGACGTGCACCTCAGCACTCTCTCAGTGGTGTCTTCTATGGGCTGAGGATACCAGCAGGGAGTCAGCGTCTCTGTGCCCAAGGTGTTCTTGGATCATTATTGAGACAGATATATAGGTAAGTGGCCGTGAACTGACCCAAGGGCGTCACTATAGCATGAGTGGCTATAGAGCCTGCTGGGTCACTGTGAGGCAGCAGAGACCCGCTTGGACCTTGCAGAGGACAGGCATGGGTGGAGTGACTAGAGAAATCAGGTGGCATTCACTGGTGGTACAAAATGACCACATTCATGTTCACAACTTTTATAATCCATGCGCAGGTGACTTTCAAAATTTGTGCCTCTCCCAAAATGCAGATCTCCATCCCAGGTCCATCTTTTGCTATTATTTCTACCTGGAAGCCTCAAAGGCTCCCTAAACTCAATCTGTGCCAAACTATTCTCCAGCTCTTTAATCTGAATCTGATCGTATTTTGGAATTCCATCTTTCCAGATGGCACTGCCCATCCATCTGGTTTAGTAAACTCTGGTTTGGTAAATTAATTTGCTTGGCTTGCTTTCTACTCCCAGCTCCCAGTCCAAGTTTACATCTGCATCTCTTGTCTGGAAAGGAGATTATGGGGCCACAGAGGAAAGTGATTGATGATGCAGAGTGTGCCTAGGGAGAGTCACATGGAGAGAAAACATTCTCTCAGGATTTCACAGAGAACAAATTGGTCAAGCAATGGCTGTGACTCATCCACAGGGCTGACCCTGACAGTGGATCTGCAAACTGCTGTACAGGGTTACAGGATAAATCCTGAGGATACTTGACTGACTTTATCAGATACAAAAATTACATTTCTTGTTACATAGGTCTTGCTTTATCTTGGTCTTAACCATCCAGCAGAAAAGTATAAAAACACAGTATGTAAAGTAAAGCCATATTAATATGCTGAGGTGTGAAAGGCTCAAGTCAGCAACTTCTGTGGATAACCCACTAGTGTTGTGGATTGCTGGACTGTGTTGGATTGTTTTGCTGAATTTACACACCTATAGTATGTAGATGCCAATGGGATACCAATCTCTGATAGGACCAAACAAAAAAAGGGGATATAAAGGAAGGACCATTTTGTATCTGTATATACAGAATAGTTAGGATAGATCTACAGCTACTTTCACTTAATTCAATGAGAAGAAAGAGGTGTACCAATAGTGTTTGGACAGAATATCCTGTCTGCATCTTGTACTATGGATAACCACTAAGAGGATAACAATGTACAATATATTAATTATCGAAACTGTCTTATTAATCAGTTTTGAAACTGTCTCATTGCTATTTGTTTCTCAATAAAATAAAATAAAAAGACTTGTATCCCTACTTGTCTTTGTCTGACTGCTTGGACTGAGGAACGTTTACCTTAGTGTGTGCTGCAAGGAAGGGCTCATGTCTGACTTCCCAGTGATCAGCTCCATGTGTTCTTCTTATAGCATGTGTGCTTATTTTCCTGGATGTCTTTGGGAAACAGAACAAAGATTAGATGCTTTTCTATTATAAAGGCAGCATGTCGCCCAGTAATAAACACTGCTTACAAATTGTGAGTTTCAGAATATGTCCATGTGATTAAGTGGACCGATAAAATGAAAGCTCAAGCTTGCATTTAATAAGAAAATGTGGGATTCAATCACAATTCTTGGTGCCCTTCACTTTCATGATTTATGAAGATATGCCTTTTGTCATTTTTGTATGCATGGTTGCATTCTCTTGCTGGCAGTAAGGATTTGTAGAAGGAGAATATGTTATCTGTTTTTCTCTTTTCACTTAAAATATCCTCCCTCCCTCCCTGCCTCCTTCTCTCTCTCCCCCTCCCTTTCTCTTTATCTCACTCTCTCCCTTTTTTCTCTCTCCCTGTCTCTCTGTCTCTGTCTCTCTTTCTCTCTCTCTCTCTCTCTCTCTCTCTCTCTCTCTCTCTCTCTCTCTCACACACACACACACACACACAGGCACACACAGACTCTTGACTTTCTAACTTTAGGCAAGAGATACTGTTTTAGATAAGCACCTGCTTACTGTTTCCAGCCTTTCACCATCTGTAGAGTGTTCGTTTGCCCTCCTCTCACCTTGATTAATTCATTGTTTGTTATTATAAAAGTCACCTGGTACTAGGTATGCTAAAAGAAAAGGTGCTTACTTAGCCCACAGTTCTGGAGTTCTAAGCGCGATGTTAGCACCTGCTCAGCTCTGGTGGGACTTTTGGCTGTGTCACAGGGTGGACAGGCATCACAGTTGGAGTGCATGTGTGAATGAGATATCATGCAATAAGAACAGAAATCCAGAGAGCCTGAAGGACCAGGTTCCTACTTTCTGACAGCCACTGTTGTGGTAACTGATGGAGCTCTCTCGAGAATGTCACTCATCTCCTGTAAAGTGATACCAGGCATAACAACCTTCTATCAAGCCTCCAACTTTCTGCTGCCTCAAAATCGTTTACATTAGGAATGAAGCTGCCATCACATGGAACTGTATCTTACCTGTAGCATACCCAAGAGAAAGGATGTAATTGTTAATCAGCTTTTGTTGGAATAAAAGTGGAATATGTAGCCTACAGTTGTTCAAGAGAACTTTCCACAACTATGCCAATATTTTGTACTTCAGCCATCGAGTACAGTAGCCACTAGCCACATGTGATTACTGTGCTTTTGAAATATGGCAAGTGTGTTGAAAACTAAGATTTTATATATTTACTTATTTATTTATTCCAGTACTGGGGCTTGAACTCAGGACCTTGTGCTTGCCAGGCAGGCACTTGTGCTGCTGAGCTATCTCCCCAGCCCCTAAGTTTTTATATTTTACTTAACTTTAAGTAACTGTGTGTGAATAGTGGCTGACATCTTGGACAGTACAATAATTGTCAAAAATATACAGCTCAGAAAATCGAATGAGTAGATACACTAATTGCACATTGAGAGTCACCATTATGAATACCTATTTTCTATATTGATTCATGTGGTGCTTAGAAGTAATAAAACATAATTCTTAACATACATAAAAATTATCATTAAAATGATGAGAAAGATATCAACATCTACCTAAAGTGTTTATATTTAATATAAGACCATTTCTATGGTGATTTATAGACTTACTTTACAGATACATTATTGATTAATTTCATAAGAATTCCAAGTTAGTTTTACTCCTTCCATTTCATGCAAGAGAAGGTACTGTGCTGTAACAACTTAAAGCCTAGATCACACAGCCAGCAAGTGGCAGAAGCATTATTTGAACCCAGGCAGGGCTCATCATTGACTCTTCCTACAGTGACCACTTCCTAAGTCCTCTTCTTAGAGCCCCTTGCTTATTTCCCTAGAACACTGGGAAACAGATGGAGTTTCGGGAAGATGAACTCTTGCACCAGCTACCTGATTTGAATCCTGTTTCTCCTGCTTGTGGAAGTTACTGAATATCTCTGAGCCTCAATTTTCTCATTTGAATATGGAAATAATAACATAGCCAGCTCACTAGGTGGTTGTGTTGAATGAGTTAATAGTACTTGGCACATTGAATGAAACAATATGAACCACTGATGGAGCCATCAGCATTTTTAATTTGCAAGCGACTACATTTTTGTTAGGATTTGGATTTGATAAGATGTCAGTAGATGAAGCGGAGAAATGCTTTGTGTATATTCCCATAGGAAATAAGACAGACTTTAATAATTTGGATAATTTAAAAAGAAACACCCTGCTGTTCAGCCACTTTGGTGTCTTCGTCACTGAGATTGCCAAGTTTCAGAGCCCTCGTGGCCCAGCCAGTTCTTCATATCTTTGCTTTTCATGTTACCCTTAGAGATACCTCCTTTGGTGTCTTTGATTGGCTCTGAATGCTGAGCTGAGACAAGCACCAACACAGCTGGAAAGAACTGTAAGATTTGCTGCTCTGTCTTCCAGCAGGGAATTATTGCCATGGATACCAGCATCAGAGGAAGACCTGGGGACACTCTCCACTTGCCTCCTGACTGTCTTGACATCTGTTTCTAGCAAAGTCAATAATGAATGTGCTGCTAGCTTCATATTAAGTAGGAGACTTAGCCTGTTTGCTTTTACTTACTTATTTATTTTTTTAACTTTTCACAGATGGCCTCTGCCCAAGATTCCAGGTATGGCCAGAAAGATTCCTCGGATCAGAACTTCGACTACATGTTCAAATTGCTCATCATTGGCAACAGCAGCGTGGGGAAAACGTCCTTTCTGTTCCGGTATGCGGACGACTCCTTCACATCTGCATTCGTCAGCACAGTTGGGATCGATTTCAAAGTCAAAACTGTATTCAAGAATGAAAAGAGAATCAAGCTTCAGATTTGGGTAAGTGACTTTGAACCGATGTTGTGCTTTAGTCTGAGGTGTTGGACGGGGCAGGGTGGAAGGGAGGAACTTCCTGCCTTGTTCTGTCCTCTCCGGCTCTAAAAGCTTTGAATTCCAGCTTTTTTTTTTTTTTTTTTTTTTTTGCTGCAGACATTTTGTTTCAAAGATGGCCTGGCAATGTCTTCTGAAGACAAGGGGACTGAATTATGCTATTTTTCCAAGTAATTTTCCTCAGTGGTCTTCCAAAGAAAAACATAAACCAAACTTCTATTGTGTTGGCTGCTCCAGAAACAATGTCTTTTATGCTGTGTGACCTTGACCTATCTTGACCTATGACAGCTCTTTTTTTTTTTTTTTTTTTTTTTTTTTTTTTTTTTTTTTTCCAGAACCAGGGATTGAACTCAGGCCTTTGCACTTGCCAGGGAAGTGCTTATTCTACTGAGCCATCTCCCTGGCCCCTAGTTTCCCTTGGTGGGTTTTTTTTTTTTTTTTTTTTTTTTTGGTGAAACCAGGGATTGGACTCAGGCCCTTGTGCTTGCCAGGCAAGCATTTATTCTACTGAGCCATCTCCCTAGCCCCCTGACATTTCTTATAGTCTATAAAACAGGTAGCTTAGATCTTGCCCTTAAGGCTGCAGGAAACAGTCTATGAGCATTTTTTTTTTTTTTTTTTTTTTTTTTTCAGTACCAGGGATTGAACTCAGGACCCTGCGCTTGCCAGACAAGCACTTATTCTACTGAGCTATCTCCCTGGGCCCAGTCTATAGGCATTTTAAAAGAGAAAGTATGTAATCAAGTACAGGGAAGCTGGTGTTAGTTCTTTCATAAAGCCCCAGATTTGACTTTGACCAGTGTACTTACACTCCACAAACTGTTCTCCATGATAAAAGCTATGTTTACACATGAAAATGAGACAAAGTATTTGTGTAAAACAGGTTCATCGAAAGGAGAAGTTTTTCTGTGACACTTGAGACCATTGGACTGGCTTTCTGTTTTTTCCCTAATGCCTGACAAAGATTAGAAATTTCCTAATTAAGTTGTTAGCATAAATGTAAGAGATTAGCAAGCAAGAAACTGGAGAAAACTGTTTGAGGTTTCACACAACAAATATGAGGAATGTTGAAATATTTAAAAAAATCATTACAGTAAAAGACGCGTTGCCACGAATCCTCCTCAAAATACTGTCTTCCTCCCCACTTCGAACACACTGATGTCATCGTTCCTGTCACTTTCCAAAGCAGTTCAGGATGCCCTCTTTTGTGAGCATCTTTGGTTGTGCTATTGTAGCTGCTTTGACATCCTGCACAAATTAAAAATTAGGGGGCTGTGGAGGCACTCAGCAGCATTAAGTGCCTGCCTGGGAAGCACAAGGTCCTGAGTTCAGATCTTGGGACAAAAAAATAAAATTTAAATAATAATGCCATTCCTAGTCATTTTGACCTTGGGGAAAAGTCAGAACTTGTGCAGTGTTTGGCCTAGTGAAAAGGGTAGGTGAAGGCCCACCATGTCTTTATGAGCTTCTCTTTCCTTTGAATGGCTGGGTGAAGACCCACCATGTCTTTATGAGCTTCTCTTTCCTTTGAATGGCACTCACAGTAGTGTTCATTGTATTCTTGTTGAAAACTTGTAAAGGCACCCAGAAGACTTCCAGAACTGCTTCAGATGAGGCCAGAATAATGGCATGAAGTGTGTCACAAGTGTGTGTGTGTGGAGGGGCGTGCAGTGGTTTATGTGCAGTGGTTTATGAGATTAATTTGTTCTACGGTTTTGGGGAAGATGGCTGCATTTGTGTTTGTGTGGGAAAGATGGCTATCTTCGTTTGTCACCCAATTCAGAGTTTGTGAAAGAAAACAAAATTTTTGCTAAATGCTTTTGTGTGTGAACCAAACTTGGCAAAAAGGAAACATTTGCTAACCAGGGCATTACTGCATTTTGAGGCAGATTAATGGCAATATATCTATCGTTGTGATAACTCCAACTATGTGGGCATTAGGTCAAAACTAATACAGGCAATGTAACCAAAAACTTGGTTGCACCAAGATAAATATTTTATGGGCATATCATAGTATGTAGATAAGTAAAATGTTTCTATAGTCACTTTCACCCCCCTTTCCTGTTCACTTATACCTTTCCCCTCCAGATGATATAAGGTATTGACAGGTGTCCACCGAGAGGTGTTTTCTGCCTTCTTCTGAGATTCAGAGACATTTACAACAGCTACTACCATTTGATATGAGTTCCCAGATTGATCTTTAGAAGTTGTAAGAATTCTCTTTTCTCAGTACGGAAAACTGAAAGACAAATACCACGGTGTTCCATTTAAACCTTTTAAATTAACATTTTACTAATATATACCAAATACACATGCGTGCATGCACACACACACACACACACACACACACACACACACACTCAGTGCTCTTTAACACCTTAAAAGTCTTAGGTATAAAACTTAAAGATACAGGCATGTATGTCGTTGTCCTCTTTGGTGGCCCACAGTAGGTAGTTACTGTTTTATTTATTCTAACTACAGGGCTCACATGAGAACTCAGACAAGCAGGCCTTCTGTGGAGTATCCTCAGAGTTCCACCTCTCCCTGAAGTAGCTGTTGGGAAGATTCCCACTGAGGAGCTTGACTCTAGTCAGTGTGAACAGTGTGCTGTAGCACATCCCCACATATGGAAGAATAAAACCAGGTCAATTGCTTTGCATTTGGGGCCTGGTCAGTTCTCTTCCTTTTGAACTTCAGCAAACCAGCTGTCAGGTGATAAATTTCATATTCAGGCTCAAAAATATCCAGTTACTCTCAGGAACGCTGGTGGATTCAAAATTAAATTAATTTCCTATCCACACATCTTTTAACTAACTCCATATTCTTTCTGTTGATATTAAAGAGGAGTCAGTCCTTTAGCTGATAACTTCTAGTTTCTTTGCTCTTTTTTGTATTAGTGATATTTTTACATGTTTTGGTGTCTCTTGGATAGAATACCAACATGGTATACTCAAGCAGTCTTATAATAACAATTTTTCAATCTAGATTTTTTTGACAGAAATTCTTTGTTGAGTTACAAAATTATGCATCTGTAATGTAAAGCAGGTTTCTTTTTCTCCTCCTTCTCCTCCTTCCTCCTTCCTCCCCCTCCTCTCCCCTCCCCTCCCCCTCCTTCTCCTCCTTCTCCTTCTCCTTCTCCTTCTGCTTCTCTTTCTCCTCCTTCTCCTTCTCCTTCTCCTTCTCCTTCTCCTCCTTCTCCTTCTCCTCCTTCTCCTTCTCCTCCTTCCTCCTTCCTCCCCTCCCTCTCCCCTCCCCTCCCCCTCCTTCTCCTCCTTCCTCCTTCCTCCCCTCCCTCTCCCCCCCCCTCCCCCTCCTTCTCCTCCTTCTCCTTCTCCTCCTTCTCCTTCTCCTTCTCCTTCTCCTTCTCCTTCTCCTCCTCCTTCTTCTTCTTAATGTATTTGATTGTTACAGGGTCTCACTACACAGTTCAGACTCATGATGATCCTCCTATGCCACCATGCCTAGACTCTGTGGCCAGTTTAGCCCACACTGGGGGTGCGGTTGGTGCAGCATGCGGTGCCAGGGATCAACCGCAGTCCCTGCAGCTTGCCTAATCTTGCTTAAGCAGGTGCTTTGGTTCACTGAGCTATCTCTCCAGCCTGGGCCTCACCTTCTAATGACCCACTCAGCTACAACGCATCATGGATCAATCCAGTGATGCCTGGAGTATCCCCACAATCCCACCACCTTATGCAATGACAACACTCAATGTCATTGCTGGGCCACTTATTTTTCTTAGACATTGATATTCAGTTTCCATCTATGTCTTGCTTCTGGATGAATGTTGCTCTTCTGCAATATAACTGAAACCCAGTGCAAACTCTTGAGCTGTTCCTATTCTATTATTTCCTCCACATGCTTCATAATCTCTGTAACTTCCTGCAAAGCCTGTGCCAAGGCATTGTGTTCGTAATTATCTCTAATCATCCATTTCCACCTCCTCTCTTTAAAAATCCAGTAAGGGTCATCAGCGTCATCCCAGCTAGAACCTCATCCCAGGGCTTCATTCCCTTGTTCCAGGGATACCTACCTCCCCCTCGGGATCAGAAGCTTTGGAGGCTTTCACCTTTCTTTCTCTTCAGTCACACAGTTTAGTAGCCCTTAATATCTCTGTAACTAAAATATAAGTTATTCCTCATTGGGTCCTATTTTACTTTTCTCATTGCTGAGAGTAAACACTAGACATAAGTTAAAGAAGGAAAAGTTTATTTCACCTCACAGTTTGTTGAGGTTTTAGTCTGCAGTCAAGGCGAGGTGGTGTGGCAGAGGGGCATTGCAAAAGTGTAGCCATCCACAGCAGAGCAGGCAGGAGGCTGCAGCAGCAGCACAGCAAGCCTCCCTTTTCCTTCGATCCAAATTTGGGTAAGGGGGAGAAGAACCCCAGGCCCAGATGCTTTCACTGACCCCCTCTGAAAGGCGCTGTTATTTCCAGCACTCTCATCACAGGCCACATGCGCTCTGGGTCTCAGAGGTTGCAGGCCACTGGGTCAAGAAAAGATCTTACGAACTTTCTAGCTCAATCCCCTTCCTGATACTAAGTCAAACTAATCAAACCGTTATAGTGGAGCTTAGGGAGCCTAGTACTGATTAATCATGTAAACACTTTATAAGCACATTTTATTTTAT